ATTGGAGGGGGAAGGTGGGACAGTCAAGTGAGTGAACCACTTACAGCACTTAGAAATAAGTCTCAGATAGAAGAGGGAAATTTGCGGGGGGATGTGAGCAATTTGCTGTTTTCGTGACTTCTCCCACCTCCTGGGCCTAGTCCTGGTGTCACCTACCATCGCCCCTGTTCTTAATGTTCTTCCTGAAGCAGTGAGCGCCTACTTTCAGTTTTAGGCGTGCAATGTATTCAGAGATGATGTGGAATCTTCAAGTAACATATTACGGTGTTCATTCTAGGAACTTTTCTACAAAGCGAGAGATTACGATGAAGTGTGTGTGCGCAAGCATGGAAGTACATGCACTAGTGGAAGCAGTAGTCAGAGGCCCAAGAAGAGCCTCCGCCGCCTGTGCTCCGCCCATTAGTGAGTTGCTAATGCGTCATTGTTCTCATACTTGAATGAGATACTCCACTTCGAGTATGTATCCTATAATTTTCCCATGGAATGCGTCATCAATCAAAGCATGATCCCTGCTGCTCTGGAATGATATCGGCTATCGGTTTTACATGTGCAAACGACCTGTCGCGAATGCGACGGTTGCCCCTGGACGCACCGTGTGCCCCGGCCCATGAACATTTGGAGCAATGCGCAATGCGCACATTGGCTCCGTCCCCTACGGTAGGTGCCAGCCGTTGTTCGCCTACTATCACCGCGGTAAGCAGGTCCATACTGTCTTCCTAGCTGCCAGGTAAGTCATGGAAAGGTGTGGAACCCCTTCCAACTGAGGTCCTTTGCTTGATTAGGCACTACGTTCTCCTCGAAGCTGATAGCCAGTGGCAGGTCAGTCTTAACCGGACAACGCGAGGAGGCCGACCCAAAACGAGGGGAACGCCTCCTGAATCCAAGTTGGCGGAGCGCCCGCCGTGTAGCCGGTCGTGTTCCACCCCTGCTCCCCGTCTGGGAGCAGCCTGGCATCATGTGCCCCAGCGAGGACACGCCGACCGTAAGGTGCCCATGAAAATTGTTCCGAGCGGGATGGAGCGTGCAGCCAGCTAGCCTGCTTACGCTTGAGCGAGGTGGCCGAAGGAGACCAGAGGTGCGGTGAGCTATTAAGTACAAAAAATATATTATTAATTATGTTGCACTGAATAATATATTTTTTGCTGTATGTACTCCCCTTTTTGCCCTATTTCTATGTCAATTATGTATGCTGCTTGAGTAATGGTTGGTGTCACGACGTTTCGCCATGATACACAAAGGCGTCAAGGTGGATCCTGTGACACGTCATCCTGTTGATTAAATAACTCGAAACCTATGTTCAAATTGCCGCCTGCCGCACTGCCAGTCCATTCCAGTCCATTCCAACGGACCGCCCACTGGCACGGGTATAAATACCGCACTTTTTTGGAGGTATTTAGCCGCAGCCCGCGACTCCGGGCCGGTCTTCTCAAATGCTTTCGTTGGCTCTTCTCTAGCGCCTCCAGTAAGGCTCACACATCTATTTCACCCCACTAGTAGCAGAATTATGAATCACGCTTGGACGGTTGCCTAAACGATAAGGCTCACTCCTGAATGCTGTAAGTGGCTCACTCACTTGGAAGCCAGCCCCTCCACACCCTCGACGACATGAGCGCCCACTCCACCTGAGAAGGCTCTAGACGTCCCTGAATAGTAATAGAGTACACCAACACCCACCAATGAACTTACAGTTCATCCTTTTCATTTTTTATTGGCATTTCATTAACGTGGCACTGAATGTAATCAACTGCTCCCGATATTTTCTTCCAATCGACGTATGTGGCAGATAAATCAATAACTGAATACAATCTGGCGCTATCGCAGGATACGGAGACAAGGTAATGCACTTAAAATTGCGTAAAGGGGAAGAGACAAGCTAACGTGCGTGAGCAATTTCATTTCCCTCGTGGTTCTTGCCCTCCTAGGCTGAGTCCTAGAGAATGCCTTTTATCTGGGGATAGTGCCTACAATCTTAGCACATAACAACAATCGAAAACTAATTATGGAAAAATCAATAAATGAAGATATATGCAAGTTTGCCGGATACTCGTGTGATGATTCCTAAAGCTGTACAAAACCCTGTTAAATGAAAAATGGAGATGAAATGGGATAACTGCAGACGAACAAATTTAGTAGGGTGAATTCATTCCGAGTTTTGTATCAAAGCAGAGTTTCGTCCGCCGTTGTTCTGTCGCAAAGCCACGGATGGAACGCAGTTTGACCAGCTCATTCACCACCACTATCAATGACGTCCAAGCCACTAATGCAGCCATTGAAACAGCTGAGAGTGCTTCATGCAGGAATACTCCAGAGGCGTACGAAAATGCAACCTGAACTATCTCTAATCATTCGATATGACATCGCTAGAAATGGTTCAAGACAAAAGGAATACAAGCTTTCTTTTCCTCACTGAATAGAGCAAACAATCATCAGAACTGTTCCATAATTCATAAATTGCCATGTCAATTATTGTTTACATGGAAGCATTCATAACGTACACAGGTCACCAGAGATTGGGTAGCTCTAGGAGAAACATACAATCAGGAGTATTGAGGCAGGTGTAGACAAGTGGTTAAGCGTGGAGACTCACGCCGTAAGGGAACACTCATCGGTGGTAACCTCTTCAACGCCAACACGCCCTCTGCTAAACGGCTAAATTCAGAGTGGTCGGGCTCGCAGTGGCGACAGAGGCACCGGAACGGCCATGCTAGACCACCCGGATCATATACTTCGCTGCGGACTGCGTGTCGATTTGCCCGTATGGTCCTTCAACTTACCCACTGGCCTAGGGTAACAAGGTTCGTGAATGGACAACGTCGTTAACCCAGTGCTCATTCGGTTCTCTTTGGGATAAGTTGAGTAGGTTTATTCTCTTATGCATTCGTCGTTTTGGACTATGGTAAGCTTATAACCTTATTTTATTCAGTCTGTTCAGTTAGCTAATCAATGACTCCACTGCAAAGCTGAGGAAAGATTTCCAGCAACTTACTGCACTGAAATGTCAATGGGTGGCCAAACAATATTCAAAATACGCGTATAAGGAATACCTGAAGGATGAGGCACACCAGGCAAGATGCAGTCCATGGAAAACAGAAGAATGGGTTATCGTTCCACAGAGAACTGAGAGGGAAAACCCATGCCGATGACAGAACGCAGAGATACACGCATTGCTGTAATTAAAAATTACATAACCGGTGAAACTCCAGTTCGGGGGGCCACTCCATTTTTTCTCCAATACTCAAGATAAGGATTAGAGGGCTCACGACACGTAATCGACTCATTTAAAGTAGACTTCTGATAAATATTGGTGTAATGGGTGAGAAACCCTGAAACGTTTTCACATTTCCGCCTGCCATGACCCAAGGGAACGGTCCTGGACCAGGAGAAAGGACACCTCCGCAAAGGGCTAAGGGTGCAGGAGCTCCAGGGTGGATCACCTGTGCAGAAAAGTGGATGGGATGTGGGCAGGTAGTGTGGAATGTAGGACATCCACCGGTCCTTATCAAAAGTACGCTCGAAATGAGTCGTTCACTTATTATCTTATCCGTAGTGTTCGATAGCCCAAAGAACTGCTCTCTAGTACTACGGATAAGATAGCAATGGAGTGCCCCCCCCCCGAACTGGAGTTTCACCTACATAACCATTTCAGACCTTTCGCGTAGAACAACATCAACCAACAGGACTTTGAATGGAACCTGGTGTTCAAATTGAGATCACCGATCAAACGTCGCCACTACCCTACAGAAGTTCAAAAGCAAACAGGACATCGGGCAAGATGGACCACTCACCGTAATCCAGTACAGAGGCTCTTAGGCCAGCTACAAGCCATGCTAACCTTATGTAAGGTCTTGATTCCCTCGTTACCATGATGTCTTCATCCCTCCTATTCATTTTTGGGCTGCTGACCTGGCAATGGGTCCAATATGTTTTTGATTCTTGAGCTAAGATCTTGATGCAGATCACAAAATGTCCCCAACAATGGGTAGGAAGTACAACGGCACATTCTACTTACCATTAGCTTGACGCGAAATCACTACACTATGCGTCGCGACCCATCCTCTGACTCTGCCTGTTTGCCGCGGGCCTCCTGTCGGTCACCTCTCCCCCTATCGATTGTAATAAAATGAATAGACTTTTTCGCTCTGATCAAGGTAGTCCCGCCGATACGTTAGCCGATCAAGTTTTTGAGCTCAATAGAAGAAAATGCGAACTATACAATGCCGAGATTTATACAAGGCCGACACCGACAAGGCAAGACCCACAGATCCTGCCCAAAATGTGGATATACCTTCGCGATTCCGAATATGGAAGAAATACGTCACACATTCCGAAGGGACCCGCCAACTACGTCATTCTTCAATGCCGTCGGAGAAGACAAAATCGCAAACTTGAAGGATAGCGATGAGATCTCGATTAAAGGAAGCGATTATGATAAAAGGGAGCGCATCGGGGAAGCATATGCACCACACGAATCAGTTACTTGGCTGCCAAGGAAGCGAGGTGTGGCGCTTTCACGACGAAAGGTGCGCTGGTTGCTGAGCAGGACTTCGAAAGCACTCCGCCCCCAAAAGCGATCCGCCCACTAGTTTACTTGGTGATTTGGACGAGCTGCGTTGCCAGCAGCGGCACAACTGGAGCAACTCGATTGGAGCGTGGTTTGGCATGGTGCCACCAAACGCGTTGCGGTGAACTCGTTCATACGTCCGCTTTCTGAGCTGTTACCTGTTCATGAGTGAAAACCAACGGCCAAAAAAAGGGGGTCCCGTTTTGCGTTTTCTTGACGGATTTCTCTGCTTTTTTCGCCACTGGCGTACCATTGAGCACCACCACGTCCTTTTGAACCCCTCCTAAAACTATCGTAATCGCTGCCTTTAATGTAATGTGCGGCTTAGCACAGCGGCTTCGACTGTCTAGTTGAGGGAACACTCACATGAAAGCCGACAACGTGACGAATAGCCATTGTCGAAAGATAGGCATCAGATGAGTGTTCGGCTGCGACGGAACAGACCACGTCAGAGAATGAGCAGGTGAATGTCGAATTTCGAATCAACTGCAAACACGGATATTCACCCTCTATTTCAAAAAACCAGAAATGCGTCGAGTGCAGACCACACACCACAAGTGACGACGGCCTCCAAGTAAATCTGGTTAGTAGTGGTTCATAGTGATAGCTGATTTTTTGGTAAATGATAGTTGTAATTAGTGACAACTGATAGAATACAACAGGCTAATATTCCGTTGGCAGGAATATTTACATATTGTGAAGGACGTGTTTTGTAGTGTGTGGTCTGAACTCGACGCGCTTCTGGTATTTTGAAAGACGGAGCTTCTTACAAACTCAAAAAAAAAGTCATCGGCACACTATCAACAGTGCAGGGACAAATAATGCTCCCATTTCAGCTCCAAAATAGCACCCCTAACAAACCTGATCGATTTAAACGTTCATCTGGTCTCAACAATGACTACATAGGAAAGGTGTAGCCTTTTTGGAGCAACGATAACGCAAAATTTCTTTCTAAACCTACCAAAAAGAAAAATAGCAGCACAAGGAAGAGCGATGTAGGAAAGAAACCGACGAAAAACGTAGCCACCGCCCATATAACGTTTTGTCGAGGGACAGTGCATGTGTTCTAAAAGAAGTTCGAAACTCAAGCACGCTTCAAGCCTAACCTATAGAGAGACATTACTAACCTTGGACGATATTCGGATAACATTTGACCTGGGATGAAACGGAGTGAAAACCGATCCCAGCGTGAGAAGCGGCAGCTGCACGAAGGTCGTCAGAAACACCTGAACGCAATCGTTCAATTGAGCTGTGGTAAACCATCAATAAAGAAGATATTCATGTTGAATGCGGGACAGTCATTTATAAAACTAATGAAACTCCCTAGGAATACCAGCGCAGGATCCGTTATTCGGTTGTCGAATGCCAAAGGCATACTCTGCGATTAGTTACGTGCTTTTACTGGGCTCGAAAATAAATGAGATTGAAGAATGCGACCTAGACGGGTAAGATCGAAGTCGAGAAAGCTTGGAAAAAACAGGGTCTCCTTGGGTATTTGAGACGGACGGTGTTAATATGATGAGACACAATGTGCCGACGAGAGAGTACAGACGAGAGAGCATATCGATCGAGAGGACGCAGACATCCGCGCGTTGGGTTGTGGTATAGCCACCAACTTTGCAGCCAGCTAACCAAGATCCTTGGCCCTTGCGACGCTTGGGAGTTGCGACAAGCCACCTCTGCAAAATGCGAACCGAACTACCCTATTTACCGAAGAGATTGTTCCAACAACGTCTCCAAAAATCAATGCTACCGTTTTGGCAAGGCCCCCAGGTTGCCATGGCCATTCAAGAATAAATGTATACGCCTAGATGTGCCTTCGAACGCTGATCTCAAATCTACCTTCCAAATCTGCTAAACGATTCTCTGAACGGAGTTATGCAAAACAGCGCAGCGGTAGTGGTCGGGACTCACAGTCAAAACGTCGTAGGATCGGTCCCTTATCGTGTTTACTGTTTTCCATTCTTCAGGAATACAGCTAAACGGCTTTTAATAGCTTATTTAACTGAATTCCTGAAGAATGCAAACAGTAATTACGATAAGGGACCGATCCTACGACATTTTGACTGTGAGTCCCGACCACTACCGTTGCGCTGTTTTGCTTCATAACTCCGTTCAGAGAATCGTTTAGCAGATTTGGAAGGTAGATTTGAGATCAGCGTTCAAAGGCACATCTAACTGCATCCGTAGCTTCTAGGATAGCCATAGCGACCTGGGAACCTTTCTTCAGAGAAAGCCTGACTTCCATTACCAACATATACAATCACGAAACACCTCACCTGTTCAAAATCGAAGAGCAGAGGCAGAAATGATATAGCTGTGGCCAAAAGGGAAAGCGATAGCATAGTGGAGGCAAAAAAGTGGAACGCTAGGGATCCCCTCACGGAAGCACATCGATGACGGCAAGCGACAATGAGCTTTGGAAGGGCAAGAAGCTAAACGAAAAATAAACTGCCTAAAGCCAGAAAAGGAAATAAGAGAGATAAGTTACAAACTTGTTCGAATCTTAGTCGAAAGTCACTAGCAATGCCCATAAGACTGTCAGCTGCATTTTTAGCTGTCTGCCAATTAGGCCCGGAACTCATGGAACATTGCCAGTCTCCGACAGGCAGAACACTAATGGAGACATCGGCCTGAAATATCAAAAAATATGATGCTGGAAAACCTCAAAATGATTCTCTCACCTGAAGGAAGACGCTGGTGTTTACAACTGACAGAGATGAACCGAACCGCCAAGACCAACTCACCGTACTCCTGAAGAGATTAGTAGAGACAGTACCTTTAAGGTCATCGAAACACTTGAATTACCTGCATTATTTCCAACATTTGCAGGTTTGCCCCAGGAGTACAGTCAGTGATAAGGCCGACTAGAAGGGGTACATTGTCCACTTGCTCCAGATGTGGACGAACAGCCTCGATCCCTGTCGGCAGTTGCGCTTTATTCGGAATAACGGCCATCTGCAATAGGTGAGGTAAAGTAGCTAATTGTTCCTGGAATTGATCTCATAATCTCACTTTAACCGGAGGTTGGTGGCTGTACTTTTTTTCTATGGGAGAACCTTGGATGTTGGAGGTCAACAAGAAATTCGTGTGCAGATCGTCATCAGATCTGTAATCCAGTAATATTTGGAAGGAAATCAAGTTCTCAAAAGCGGAATTGGTACCGTGACAGGTGCTTTAGGACTGAAGATCTGAGCGCAGGACTTGAACCAAGAAATGCTGAAAAAGTTGGAATGAGGATTCTCACAAAAACATATCTCCCATTCTCAAAAAGCTGTGGAATGAACGGGAAGTCAAAGAGGAACTCTTACTTTTGGACAAAAAGTAATCCTTCAATGTTCGTCCGGTGGCATCGGGATCCACTTCGGCCAAGGAAACGTGGCAATTCCAGCCGGCTTCCAACCCTAAACAACGACATTTTCAACGAGAATTTTTTCTACAGCTAACATTATTACCAAGTTTTTCGGCAAAGACTCTGCTTCTCAGTTCATTTTCGCGAGAAAAATACACAAATCGAACACACAGGGTTTCTAGTTGATCAACGAGCTGCACGGCGTTAGGCATTACCTGCAAAGCACGAATGAAAATTTGCTAAGACACCAACCGCAAATTTCAAAACCAGGGTCAACTGTCTGCCCCGACAGTTCGAACAAGAGTATTTGGGATTCAGGGTTACTAAAGCGGACCACCACTTCGAAAACTGGGAACGTGGAAACGGGGGGTATTTGTAGAAGGTGAAGAGGGCATGATTGGGGAGCTAAGGGTAGTTTTTGACGGACTTGTTGGTGTTTTGACAAGGTTGTTGCGAAAACTGCATGACGTGAGCCACTTTAGAGCATTTGTCGCTCTATTATATAAAGCAACAGTCCCAGCAGGGTGGGCGTGGTCGGAAACGACTGCAATCCCCTCGGCCGATTCCGACCACGCCCACTTCAGCTCCCTCCCTAGCGGCTTTCCAAGGTGAGTTTTTGTTCAGTCACACTTCTTACGTTCTTGACTAGGGGCTGAACAGCTCCGAAGTGGGAATCGGCCGAGGGGATTGCAGCCGTTTCCGACCACGCCCACCCTGCTGGGACTGTTGCTTTAAGAACCTCCTTCTCGAGAACTTTGGGCGAATTCTAGGGAAGTGAGTGAAACATGTCGGCCGGGATCAAAATTGAATACAGAAACAAACATGGTGGTAAGGTGGCGGTGAGGCGTATTTCCTGATAAGATGATCAGTGATGCCAGCATGAAGAAAAAACCATGGGCAAGGGCTGGAACCTCTGACCTTGGACCCCTTGCTCGCCCGTTGATTTCCGCATTGATGCGACTCTCATCGGTGCTGCCCTCTTCAATGCTAACGCTCTCTTTGCTAAACGGCTAGAGATCTGCGGTGAGTGGTTAGCCAGTCGTTGGGCGTGTCGCAACGCCGCAGGGATGGCCATGTTAGGTCTACGGGGCCATATCCCTTACTACGAATTGCGTGTCAGTTCGCCCCCTTGGGAATCCGCCTGCCTTTCTACTGGACGTGTTCCCCGTACTGACCTTATCTTGAATCGTCGTTAGAGGGGACGAGCCGTAAAATTTTTGAAACCGACCGAGCACAACGGTAACCTTGGACCCTGCTGAAAACACGGGCCTATCTATGAAGAAATGATCAGTGAGTCGACGGAACTAACTAACCTCGTATTGGGTGACGATCATTCCACACAAAACGTGTCCAGTGAACCATCTCTGCACCACTTCATCAGCTGTTTTCAGAGGTGTCCGATCGAAGAACGGGTCATTCTGAGAACTGTCTGGAATCTCCAGCTTTTGAGAACACTCTGGAAGGATTTTTGAAAAATGTTTAAAAACCTATGCTGTGAGTTCTCGCTAAAGCACCACTTCGTGGATGACGACGAAGTAATGGGACCTCAAAGTAGCGGTCTTTGAGGACATCATCAAAGACCATTCCAACTGCACGGTACGACAAAGCGAGACAGTACCTGAAGTAGCTTATACAGCAATGTCGTATTCGATACAAGACACAAAAGGAACCAAAGAAGAAAACAACACGGAAAAAAAGAAACTCACCCAGTGACAGAATGTCTCTGATAGAAATCTATGGCACTTTTAAGTATTCGTTCCGTGATAGGTACGAGTTGTTCGCCATCCCACACATGCGAGCAAGCCTAAACATTCTAAAGAGTACAAATTAAGGATTGATCCACATGCGTTTGGCTGCAAAGTGATGTGAGACTTCAAGTTTTCTTCCCTTGGAGGCCTACAACCTTCGCAAAATTACAAATGCTTTCAACATGATGTTAACCTATAGGTCCCATTGCCTTTTCAAGCCTGAAAGCTATGCATTAAGGACGACGGCGGTAAGGTGCGGACGTATGGACGAGTTAACTGCATTGCGTTTGGTGGCACCATGCCAATCCATGCTCCAGTCGAGTTGCTCCAGTTGTGCCGCTGCTGGCAACACAGCTCGTCCAAATCACCAACTAAACTAGTGGCTGGAGCGCGTAAGGGGCATGGCATCTTTCAAGCAACCAGCGCACCTTTCGCCGTGGGAGCGCTATATATCGCTTCCATGGCAGTCAAGCACTGCTTCATGCAGCGCAAAGACTTCCTTGAAGTGCCCTATTTATCGTAATCGCTTCCTTTAGGACCACGGAACGGGATTAGTTCCAGAAGCCAGTTCTTTTTTGAAATATAAAGAGGGATCCGTAAACACGGAGTCGCGACACGGTCATAACTTCAAGAGTGCAAGGCACGGAAACTAGAGCC